GCATCCCCTGAGTGGCACACAAGTTCCACCTCGTAGTCAGGGATGCCTTGGAGGGGGACAGGACTCTCAGAGAGGGCACTGTCACAACCAGCCAGCTCATTTCAAAATGCAGGAATATGGTGGGCTACTTCCACCGAAGCATCAAGAGGGGCAAGATGCTGCAGGACAAACAGGCAGAGCTGAGCATCCCACAGCACAAAATCTTGCAGGATGTGGAGACTTAGTGGAACTCCACATACCTGATGCTCAAAAGGCTGGTTGAGCAACAGAAGGCCATCCATGAGATGCCCTTGCTCGGGGAGATTGGGATCATTAGCTCCCTTAACAAAACAGAGTAGGATACCATCTCCCAGATCTTGGTGGTCCTCAAGTCATTCCTCAAGGCCCCTGAGAGTCTCAACACTGGAAATGCCCTCCTTAGCCAGGTGATCCCCATAGTGAGGGAGCTTCAGAACCAAGTGGAGAAGTTCCAGGGGATCGATGTTCCTGGCTGGGGTAAGCCACTGTCACCAGAGGTGCAGGCACTGGTGAAGCTGCTGAAGGAGTGCACCAAGAAATGGCTGGATCCATTGCGGTCCAGTACGGTCCACATGCCGGCGGCCATGTGTGACCCAAGAGTGAAGGGGAGAGTATGCGCCAGCAAAACCCTGGATCACTGGACAAGGTGCTGGTGAACAGAGTCAGGGAAGCAGAAGGGTAGAGGCGGGGGTACAGGGTAGAGGGGGAACCACTGTTCCATGCCAGCACTCCATCCACCAGCCAGTCTACTCCACCACAGGTGTTATCAGTGTGGGCCAAGGACATGGCTTCCATGTTGGGGTCCAGAGGCACCAGACACCAGCATCAAGCAGGGAGCACCAAGGCCTCTCACCGAGGATGTGGAGCCGCTGCTCTGTGACCCCTTGGCCTACTAGACAAGCTACAACCAGATGTGGCAGAATCTGGCAACAGTTGCCTGGGAACACGTGTCCTGTCCACTGACCAATGTTCTGAGTGAGAGAGTGTTCAGCATTACTGGGGATGTAGTAACACCCCAGCACACCTCCTTGGATCTTGGTTTGGTGCAGCAGCTGGTGTTCCTCAAGGTGAACCTCCCGCTGCTGGGGTTCCTAAGCTCCACATGCAGATGGAGTGAGTGCCACCCTCCTCACTCCATCCACACCTATTTCTTTTTTTTATTTTTTTTTAAACCATTTAATGCCCCACTTTCAGAGCTGGAGGCGACACTCACTGTATCACCAGTCATCAGTAGAGGAACATCTCCCTACTGAGCTCCCATGCCAGGACACATTTGGAGGTGTAGGCTAGGGCTATGGAGGAGGCCCCAGGTCCTGGGCATGACCTAAAACTGCACCCTGCCAGGGATGGGAGGCCTGGTGGGACTGCTGGTGGGCAGGCCGCGATCTCACCCATGCTGGGAAGGCCCCCTGTTACAGGCTACCATCCCTGCTGCATTCATCCCACTCTACCTTAGCAGACACAAGGCAGACAAGGGTCTTTGGATCAATCTGATAGATCTCTTTTTAGACCAACTGAATAGTTGGTGAAATTTATCTTAGCAGGCTTTTAGGCTTAAAACCCTTCATCAGGCTGAGGAAGCATCTGCAGTTGGTATGTGTGCTCTTCCTGGATGGAAGGAATATTAAAGAAGCCAGAGGCTGGCATGCAATGTAGGCAAGAAAGCCAGTCAGTGAAAAGGTAAATTGAGGTGTCACGGGGTGAGGGACAGGCTGGAAGGAAGAGGGGAAAGGGGGATGTAGCAGGTAAAAGTGGAGAGGTACCTGGGGAGTCAGATGTCAGGCAGGTTATAGTGTGTCATAAATCCAATGTCTATATTGAGTCCATGAGTTTTTGTATCTAGGAGGTTGATGAAGTGAAGTTCATAGGCTTGTCTGTGAAAAGTGGCTTGCCAATTCCCTTTGAGCATCAGACCTGAGATTGGAGACAGAGTGGCTTTCTTGTGAGAAATGTGCCCCCACAGGTAGTTGGGTATTGTTGTCTGCAATAGATTTCTGGTATGCATTTGTTCTGGTGCGCAGTTGTTGCTTGGTGTCTCCTATGTATTTTCCATCAGGGCATTTGGTGCACTGGATGAGATATACAACATTTTTGGAGGTGCAGCTGTAAGATCCAGGAGTGGTGGTGGTTCTGTGGTGGGGTGTAGTAATTGTGGGGGTGGTGAAGATGTGTTGCCAGGTTTTACATTTCTTTTCATGGCATGGTCTGGATCCATTTGGTGTGTTTTGGGCTGTAGGATGTTTGCTTCTGGTGATAAGGTTAGCGAGGTTCAGTGCTTGCTTGAATTTACAAAACACTTTTCACAGATAAGACTATGAACTTCACTTCATCAGCCTCCTGGGTATAAAAACTCATGGACTCAATATAGACATTGGATTTATGACACATTATAACCTGCCTGACATCTGACTCCCCAGGTACCTCTCCATTTTTACCTGCTACATCCCGCTTCCCCCATCCCCACTCCCAGCCTGTCCCTCACCCCCTGACACCTTGATTTACATTTTCACTGACTAGCTTTCTTGTATGTATACATGCCTCTGGCTTCTTCACTATTCATTCCATCCAGAAAGAGCACACCAACTGCAGATGCTTCCTCAGCCTGACAAAGGGTTTTTAAACTTGAAAGCTTTCTAAGATATATTTCTCCAACTATTCAGTTGGTCTCATAAATGATATCAGAGGTACCCTCAACTGGTCCATGCTGGGGCCAGGACCCAAAGGGGTGGGGAGGGGGCAAAGTGCCAGGGGCCCACCGCAAGTAATGCCGAGAGCAAGAGGCTTGGGATTCCGACTGGCCTGAAGGTGGGTCTAGGGCCTAAGGGGAAGCCAAAGGTCCCAGAGAACAGACCACAGCTGGAGGGGGTGAAGGAAGCAATCTGTGAGGCATGGGCTGCACTGTAGGGGAGGTATGGAGCTGCGGAATGGGTGTTACCCCAAGACACCAAAATGGGCAGCCTCCCACCTGGGAAACATTTGAATCAGTTTTCCATCAGTTTTGTGGCAGACAAAAGAGGGGCAGGTGGTTGGCCCAGAAACAAGTGGGTGGGCAGAGATCTAACTGGCCCCCTGTTACAGGCTACCATCCATGCTGGTTTCATCCCGCTCTGCCTACACACACACACACACACACACACACACACGACATGAGTTTTGTTTTCAGAAGCTTGAGGTGCAGTTTCCAAGAACCCCCTGCACCTATCTCCTTGAAACCTGGCAGGCTTCATGGCCTCAGAAGAGGCTACCATGCCCGCTGTTTTCATCCCACTGTATCTTAACACACACAAAAAGTCACACATCACAAGTTTTGCTTTGAACAGGTTGAGGTGCAGTTTCACAGATTCCCCTGCACCTATCTCCTTGAAACCTGGCAGGCTTCATGTCCTGAGAAGGGACTAGCATCCCTGCTTTTTTCATCCTGCTCTGCCTTAACACACACACGTGACATCAGTTTTGCTTTGAAGAGTTTGGGGTGCAGTTTCACAACCCCCCCCATATCTATCTCCTTGAAACTTAGCAGTCTTCATGCCCTCAGAAGGTGTTACCATCCCTGTAATTTTTATCCAAATCAGGAAAGAAATGAAAAAAGTTACAGGCATTTTATCGATTCCCCATTATAGTTTATGGCTGAATCACCGAAACAGCATCAAAACTCTGAAACAAATTTGGCCGAATTGAAACAGAACAGTGATCCGAAACACTGAAATGAATCACTGTCCCTCCAAAATGGCCAAATCTGAAACTGAATCAAAACAGCTGTTTCGTACAGCCCTTCTTTTTCACCAGCCTATCTGCAACCTGTACTAAGTTTGCTCGCATATGCTCTATTAGCATATAGGTCAATTATCACTCTAACTGTATTAAGCCCCTCTTTATTTTTCAAGTGCATCACACTATCAGATCTCAGGCTTCTAAGCATTACTGGGATCAAGACACCAGAACACAGTCTTCAGATTGAGCCCTGGCTGCAGCCCACTATGTATCAGCCATAATTATTACAGCAGGTCTAACAAATTCAGAACTTGCAGTTTTGTTCCATCAGGGAGCAGCAACTGTAGCAATCAGTGACCGAACAGCTCTCTTACAGCAACATTGTATTTATTTTGAACAAAAATTTGATAGAAAAATCTTAAAACTATAAATCACACTATATGTGAATGTCTCCCTCCTACATTCCTTAGTCCCCGAATCTGGGGAAAAATCCAGTTCTCTCAGGGTATGGACATACAAACAACTTACTGAGAACACAAAATGGGGGAGAGATAAAGGGGCAATGAGGCAGGGATTAACCACCTAGTAACTGCCCACGTACACTCTCTTCCCTCTGTCTGTCAGCCTGTCCCCCTTGACAGCTTCTGGCAACCACCCCCTTTCTCCTTTAAGGAGGGCTCTTTAACTCTTTAGTGTTCATGTGATCTCCAAGTTCTCAGCACTGATACAACAAGGTATGCCATTTGTTGAGGACAGGACATGGATTCTTTGAAGTTGTCAATTTATTCCATTGTCATCCAAGTACATGCTTGAGGCTGCTTATTTGCCCTATTGTGTGGTTTTCCTTTGCTCTTCCCAGATTAATGCACTCATATGGGAAACTCTAATAACATGCCAGAATTTTACAATAACTCTACATGCCAGACTAGGTCACTTGTAGTACTGATAGGATAATTATACATCAGTATTCTTAAACTATTACATAGCAGCTCTTAATTCAAAGTATAATGAAACTATCCCTTCAGTTACTTTAATGCAACAGAAAAGAACTTGGCCCAAAGCCTATTGTAACATCTAACTGCATGCATTTTCACCCTCTATTTAGCATTTTTAAAGATGCTTCTTTTAGAAATTTATATGTAGTTCAGAGCTAATTTTAGCTTGATCAGAAAGTGTTCTCGGGATGCTTTCATAAAAGGTGCTATAGAAACACACTTTATTGCATAGTATTCAACACAATTTAAAATCAGTTACAGTAGTGAAGAATATTGCAGAATTGGACTGGCACAGTGTCTGCACCTGGCTAAATAATCATGGTCTTTGTAGCTATGCATGTTAAGCTAAGGATAACAAAACCTTACAAATCAAGCTCACCTGAAGAGGTCAGGAAGGGATTTTATTGCACAACAGAAATGCAACCAAAGAAGAAGCACTGCTCAGGAGCAAGATGAAAATAGATGAATATTTAACTACAGTGGAAGTAACATCTGCAGAGGTTAAAAAGGTTGTTGAAGTAAGGGTACATTCCCTTCATTCTTCTCCGCACCATAATGGTTGTGCACTTTTCACAGTGTGGCAAGGTCCATGATGAGAGGCCAGTGATGTGGGCTTCATGCCAGGTGAATCAATGGTCTTGTCCATGAGACAAATCCTATGTTTCTATGCAGGGAGAAAGAAATGGTATTCAGGGGTTAGAACTGGGCATTTAATAGGGCAGTGGGGTACACATGGTTGACTATAAGCTTTCCAATTTCTATGGAGAGTCTTCACAAACATCCATTCACCACATAATGCCTGCAAAAGAAAAGGAATTCTTAAGATTCTCGAACATGCTCCCACGGGAGGAATTTTTTTTCCAATCCATTGTGTTACTGCTACAATATTATTTTTATTTTCAACCATTTTCACTGAATCATAGAATTCCTTTCCGACACAGCTCACCTTTTCAAGATATTTTCCAATTGATCTAATCCAGCCTTTCTACCTAAGAGCTTCTTTGCCTGTTTAAAAAAAAAAACCTAAGGATGCATGTAGATGTAGCATCATTAACAATTCTTTAATACATACAAGCAAATCTGGCAACTTTAAATCATGTTACGTCTTTGAAACATGCCACAGACTGTCTTTTCCACTTTCTACTTAGTGAATCTTCATAGGGTTTTTAATACTCTTTCTACTTTTGCCATGATCAAAGGAATTGCTCTCCGTTTGCTTGTTCCTCTGATAAGTGATAAAAGATGTCAGTGAGACTAATGAGAACTGCCTCCAGCTTCCTTCATAAAGCCCTGTAGAAAAGAAATCACAATGCATCGTCAAACCTGCTAGTCTTTTAGGAAATAAAGTGTAGAAAAATACTAGGCATAAAGGCAATGGGGGGTTGGGGTGGGGGGGGAGGAGAAAAAAAGCTTTTACAAAAGAAGCAAAACAGGATACTAGTGAGTAGGAAATAGTATTTCCATCAAGAAACTGCAGCTAGGTAAACTCTCAAAACAGCTGCCTGATGAGACTGTCTCTGCAAAGTGTTACCGTTTCATTTTTTGTGTGGTATTATTCACCTCCTTTTCTCTCTTCTACCCTCATGCCCTTGACATCCCCCCCTCCAGTCAGTATTACAGATGCTGAAAATGTAATATATACTATTTAGTTGTGTAAGAGGAAGGTCCATGTCCAAAATTAGACCTTTGCACTGTCCTTTTCCAAGACCAGACACCACACATAGCCTGTTCAAGATCTAGAAATGCCAAACTCTCATCTACTTCCCTGAGAAGTCTCCAAGAAAACACAGGATAGGTTTTTAATTTATGCCTGTCATAAGGTTCTGAGCCTGTGAGAACTGAAACCAAACATCACATCCCACACTGTGCTCCAAATCACTGATATATTCATATAATTTGTCCTAGGATGACACAGATGTGACTGGGGTGAGTCCCATCAAAGTAGAACGATCAAATGAGTAGCTCTGTTGATGCTTCTTTTGAGATGTTGACGTTCTAGGGATATACGAGAAGCATGATTGCATTGGTCAGGTGACCGATTTGGGAGAGACAGAAGTCAAGTTTTCAAGTCTCAGGCATCATATCTGGGAAAGCAGCAGTCAGTAAGGTAAAAACATATTAAAACAATTGCTTTGGTATGACTTACGTTTATGAATTTGACCACTTGAAAGGGAAGTGGGCAGTTATCACCTGTGGCAGTTATTCCTTTGGATTAGGGTGTTATGACTGCTTCTTTCTAAAACCTGAAGAAGGATACCTGAAGGCTTAGCTCCTGTCTTTCCTAATTTGGGTAATTAAGAGATTACCTGACCTCACCAATCCAGCTCAACTAAAACCAGCTCTGAAGAAGGTGGCAAGAGTTTAATCTCAAAATTGATTAGCTACTTGCTTTCTAAATTCATGCAGATTGTAAATATAAAAAAAGGGAAACATTGGTGGGTCTGGCACTTGGTTCAAAAGAAAGAAAACTTTTCACTTGGGAGGCATACTCAAAAGGACTGGCTCTGCAAAGAGTGATTTCTAAGAGAGAGTCTGCAGAATAGTAGGGCTGTGCAAAGCTTCGGTCCCTGATTCGATTCAGTGGACATTCGGCCTTTTTTGGTGGCTGAATCTCCAAATCCAAATCGAATCAGAGGACCCTTTAATCTCTCTGAATCAAATCAGAGAGATTTAGAAAGATTCAGCAATATGGACATAGACAGAGCTTTAAATGTTTTTTCTACATACCTCTAGGTTACAAGTGGCGCACTGAGTATCCCACAGAAGCACAGGGGCCTCCCCAGCACGCTCAGCAGCAGACCCAGAAGTAGACCAGAAGCACTTCTGGTCCATTTCCGGGTCCACTGGTGAGCGCACCGTGCCCGTGCCCCGTGCCTCCCCCAGCTCGGCAACTAGTGCCTCCTGAGTCTGGGGGGCACCTGAGATCTCCCTGTGGCTGATTGCTGAGCCAGGGAGGTGAGGGTAGGAGGCCCCTGCACACTCCCCAGCAGACCAGTAAGTAGACCAAAAGTACTTTTGGTCCACTTCCAGGTTCACCACTGAGAACATGGGGGGGCCCCCCATACTCCTGTGGGACGCTCCATCTGTCCCACCATCACAGCATTCACGAGCTATGCCCGGTACCTTGAGGTATGTAGAAAAAACATTTGAAACTGTGTCTATGTCCAAATTGCTGATTCCCCAAATTGGCATCGAATCTTCAGTTTCAGATTTGGCTGAATTGAATCAGGGACAGTGATCCAAATCAATGAATCAAATCACTATCCCTGATTCAGGCTGAATCTGAATCTGTATCGAATAGGGCCCGAAGGGGAGGGGAGTCGGGTGTCCAAGAAGAGTGGTCGTTCCTTAAGGAGACGATCCTCCATGCCCAAAGGGAGGTAATCCCAACAAGGATCAAAGAGGGCAAGAGGACGCAAAAGTCCCCATGGCTTACCAAAAGCATACGGGAACGTCTCCTAGCCAAAAGGGAGGTGTACACCCAATGGAAGGGAGGGGCCATCACCAGGGAGGACTATAGCTCGGTTGCTCGGGGCTGCGGGGGGGCGGTCAGGAAGACCAAGGTGGAGATGGAACTGGGATTAGCTACCCGGATCAAGGAACAAGAAGTCCTTTTTTAAATATATAGGGGCCAAAAAGAAGGTACCGGGTAACATGGGGCCTCAGCAAGACACGCTAGGAAATCTGTTTGTCACACCAGACAACAAGGCTAACCTATTTAACGATTTCTTTGCCTCCATTTTCCTGAGCAGGGACCAGATCAGCCTGTCCACCGGGACTCCCTCAGGCCCTGGGGAAGGCGCACCCAGGCCTAGGGTCAGTGAGGATCTAGTCAGGGAACTTCTGGAGGGACTGGACGTATTTAAATCAGCTGGTCCTGACGACCTCCACCCCAGAGTGCTGAGGGAATTAGCAGAGGTCATTGCAGGACCCCTGGCACGGCTTTACGAGCACTCGTGGTGCTCTGGTATGGTGCCAGAGGACTGGAAAAGGGGCAATGTGGTTCCCATTTTCAAAAAAGGGAGGAAGGAGGACCCAAGGAACTATAGGCCAATTAGCCTTACGTTGATCCTGGGTAAGCTTTTTGAGAGAATTATCCTGGCGCATGTCTGCGAGGGGCCAGCAGGGGAGGTTATGCTTAGGAGAAACCAACATGAGTTCATTAGAGGCAGGTCCTGTCAGACCAACCTGGTGGCCTTCTATGACCAGGTCACAAAATCCTTGGACACAGGGGTAGCAGTGGACGTAGTCTTTCTGG